GGTTCCAAGATTGCTGCAGTACTTCCATGCATAATGTCAATATTACAGGAAAGAAAAAATGGCAGACGGGCAAAAGGGACCCTACCAGTTGAGTTTGTCCTTTTTCGCCCAGAAAGCAAAAGCTTTCCTGGGTGCTACCTTCAGCAAACTTACCCTCATATCTCATTGGGTCACATGACCAGTTATAGGAGAATGAAATTACTATGCGTGGTTTAGGTGAATTACAATTCATACATTATGGCCAGGGCAGGAGGCCTCCTCTCTTTAAAGTCAAAGAATTTCTACCATTACCTAGCAAATAGGGGTTCTATTAGCAGAGAAGAAGGGGCATGTGGTAGGAGGGATGTTGGGCTAGTGATGAACAATTTTGACTGTTGATTGCTTTTTTCACTTTTATTGCAAAATACCTGGTGCCTATGTTTGGCAGGTGTATATAATAAACATGTTTTTATAAGATATTGGCACAATGGCACTATGATTATGGAAGACTTTATAAATAAGCTGATTGAAAGACATGGGAGGGGCATGGAGGGGCACCATTTCAGATTATAAAATGGCCATAAAAAGCATAGTGTTCTGGGGACCCTTGAAACCCATGTAGAGGATGGTGGACTGGCTTGGTGGTCTTGCTCGTTTTAGGTTCTCTGGAGAAACAAGGGAAGTATAGACTGAAAAACTAATATAGTGAGAAAAGAAAAATGCATGTGTTTTAAAGCTGGAGGCAGAATTCCTCTTGGAGGACTCATGTATGTGTGTGTGTGTGTGCGTGTGCACATGTGTGTGTGTTAGTAAAACATTTGTTTGGTTGTTTAATGCTGAAAAATTAGGTCCCAGAATCTTGTCTTGAAAGGAAAAAATGAAACAGAACTAAATCGCTCAGCAAAATAAAACAAGTAGAATTTTAAGTTTTGGCTGTCAGTGTAAGAGGAAGGATAACAGGATCTTGGGAACTGGGAAGGAAAGTGGGGAAATGAAAATGAATGGGAGAGGAAGTTACATAACCCTCATCACCGGGGTATAGTGTACCTTATAGCCTCTCCCCATCTTACAGGGAACAAGTTGAGCAACTTTCAAATGGCAGGGCCAGGATTTACATGCAGCAATTTCTGACTGCATTGCAGGCCTGGTAGGCCTGGTGCTTTTCCTGCACAAAACCTCCCTCGAGTCACCAGGGAGTTCAGATTTGACCTGACAGGTGGTTGGTTGGTCATTTACAAATTCTCCCACCCCCCACGTCTGTCTACAGAAAGATTTTAAGGTGAGGGCCCACCTCAGTCGTGAACTGTTCCATCAGGTGCTCTGGCAGGAAGTCCCATAACGACCTTGGGGAACCAGACAGTTTCCTCTGGTTGTGGGTGACGGTTCTACCTCCGTCCCCAGAATAAGCTGATAAACAAACTTAGCTCTACCTCCTGCCCTGGCCTCCTGCAAACAGGCCTCTGTGGAGAGACTTACTGAGACTTTCAATTTCCTGTTAAGAAGGAGACTGGTATCTGGACCCTATAGAATAAGTATCAATTTGCATTTGGTTTCCTTTGTGTCTTGGGAGAGAGGGAGAGAGAGAGATAGAGAGAGAAGAGCTGGGGGAGAAAACAAAAGCAAAATGAAGCAGTAATTGCCCAGCCCCATTCACCTGGGAACTTGATGCTGGTGGTTTCTCACGTTCTTTTCTCTACAACTCTACAACGTGATGGCTGCTCAGACCTCACATCTCTCAGACAGCCCATCGGGTGCTGATTACCACTATATTCTGCTTCCTCTCAGTTGCAAGGATACTAGTGAGCTCTGTTTTACCATTGGAATATATGGCAATAATATTAGCTCATATAATTCAATTATTTAAAGCATTTTTATATCTCAAATCACTGTCAGTCTTTGCAAGTACTGTGCAAATTATGTTGGTTGTGAAAACTCCTCGAAAGGCTGAAATGTGTCGATGGAAAAGAGACAAACTCTGTAAAATATTTGAAGAGATTTATTCTGAGCCAAATATGAGTGACCAATGGCCTGTGACACAACCCTCAGGAGATCACGTGCCCAAGGTGATCAGGGCAAAGCCCAGTTTTACACATTTTAGGGAGACATGGGACATCAGTCAAATACATGCAAGATGTACTTGGTTTGGTTGGAAAAGGGGGAACAACTTGAAGTGGGGGGATTGCAATGGGGGCTTCCAGGTTATAGGCAGGTTTAAAATTTTTCTGATTGGAAATTGGTTGAAAGAGTTATTGTCTGAAGACCTGGAATTAATAAAAACGAACGTCTGGGTTACAATAAGAGGTTGTGGAGACCAAAGTTTTATCATTCAGATGAAGCCTTCAGGCAGCAGGCTTCAGAAAGACTTGATTGTAACTGTTTTTCATCGAACTTTCAGAGTCTGTTCTGAGAGGGAGGCGTGTACGATGAGGCACGTCCACACTCCACCCCACATCATGGCCTGAACCAGTCCCTCAGGTAAGTCTTAGAACGCCCTTGCTGAGAGAAGGGGTTCATTCAGATGGTCGGGGGGGTTAGAATTTTATTTTTGGTTTACAGATGGTATGTCCTATGAGCTGAGTTCAGGTTTGGGTGGTTTGACTCCCAGCACCAAGCAGTGTGACGCTCAGGAAATGATAGCTACATAAAGACTTCTTAGAGTAAGATGAAAAGTGAACAAGGAAGTGGAGAAAAGATGGAGTAGGCTGTGGCTTTTTTTTTTTTTTTTTTCACTTAGGAAGGTCTGATAAGAGCATCTCCTAGTGAGGGAGGAGAAAGGAAGAAACTGGTCAGGCAGATAGTTAGGGTGGGTCCTCTTTCAAACAAAGGAACAGTCTGAAAAATCAAAGCTGCAGGCTCAGGTAAAGGAACTTGCACAGGGGGCCTTGCCTAAGACATGCCCACGGCCAAACAGATAAGAAAGGCTATACAGGTGGCTTGCCCAGACATGCCCACAATGGACAATTCCATCCCCTGACACATGCACAGTAAGCGGAACAAAGCAATACGGAGTAACTCAAGCTAAGGGCCCACATGCGCATTAGGAACAAGGTAGAGCTACCAGAAATTCGTACCTATGCAAATGAGATCCCCAGTCGTTATTGGCTTCCTATAAAAGCCTTTGCATTCAACTATAAAAATGGTAACCCTTTTCTGGGTCCCCTCTCCACAGCCAAGAGCTTTCTTCTTTCACTTATTAAACTTTCGCTCTAACTTCACCCTTTGTGCCCACTCCCCCTAATTCTCTTAGTTGTGAGACAAAGAACTCCAGGTGATAACTCACAATGAGAGACTGCTACTTTGTGGTGCATTGGTGAGACTGTAACACCAGGGCTGAGGCTGGACCTGTGCCCTAGTCGGTATATACTTCCAAGAGTGCAAGCACACCAAGGGAACCAATTTTGATGGGCTCTATTCAGCAGAGATCAGTTTGGGGACAGGTGTTAATTTAGTACATACAGTTAAATAGACATGTGGGCACCTATACATATACACACTTTGTGCATCCATCTCTTTAAACAAAACATGATGTTTCAGTAGGTAGTCATGCAGACATGAACAGGGCAGGAGTGGGTTCCCCAACAAGGAATGCCAGGTGACCCTCAGGTGATGGTCAGGCGGTTGTTAACGATCTCTCTAAAATAATAATTGGTCGCAGCTGGCACCAGGGAAAGGCAATCATCTCCCAGTAGATAGAAAACAACAAAATTTGATGATCGGCAGCTTCCAATAAGAAGATCTCAGGAGTCGGGCGAGTGGGCCCAAGCATGCACACTAAAAGGCAAAATGGCAGAGTTTAACTGGTATATGACCTTCCTCTAGGAATACTCAACTGGTAAGGGAAGAAAGCCTCGAATGAGCATGTGCACAACTCCAGTAAACACACTGTGCATGTGGCCCCTTCCAAGTACTGGCAGGCCACTGCACATGCGGATAGCCCACCCTGAAGGAAGAATCAGCGGAGAGGTAATGCAAGACCTCGGAAGCATACCAACATATAAAACTCCAAGTCAAAAGTCAGACCATTCACTTGAATCTCTCAAGTCATCTGCCTGGCCCTCTTCCAAGTGTACTTTACTTCCTTTCATTTCTGCTCTAATACATTTTAATAAACTTTCACTCCTGCTCTAAAACTAGATTCAGTCTCTTCCTCTGCCTTATTCCCCTCAGTCAAAATCTTTCTTCTGAGAAGCCAAGAATTGAGTTTGCTGCAGACCTGTACAGATTTGCCACTGCTACTGATAAGATGTAAGATGGAATGATATTCTCTGCAGGAGCACAAAGGGAAGGAAAAGAGAGTTGTTTCTGAGACTCAAGTAGGCAACATAGTGAGGGTGATGGCAATCTGCCCCCAGCCTCTCCACCTGACCGTGTCTCTCTTCCCTCCAGGATCCTGTCCACCATGACCTTCCTTCTTTCTTCCTGCAGTTGTCTTTCGAAGCCTTTCATCACTTTCTTGGCTTCCCTTAAATGCCGTGGTCACTTAGCAGGCAACCCTTCTGCCTGATGCGGTTGCTCAGCACAGCACCTTCCTGGGTTGTGCAGGGGTGAGGGAAGAGGAGAAGCACTGTGGGGGTGTGAGCATCATTCCTTCTTGGGGTTCGTGATTAGGGCAACCAGGACAGGTGGGGGCTGGTGGTGTTAATCAGTCCATTAACAAGTATGTTCTGATTTCTGAGTTCCAGGACTGAGCTAAGGGCTCACTGTTCTCTGTTGTCTATCTCTGCTTATCAAACAAAAAAAAAAGTAGGGGGGAGAAAATAGAAAACAGTTATCCATCAGATCTCTTTCTTGGGCTGAAGATAGGGGCTTGGAGAGACATTTCCTGGATTCCGGTCCTGACAGCCCCTAACTGGCTGTATAATCACAAGGCTTCACACCCCAGCCAGGGAGGCCAGGGAATGGCAGGCTTTATATTTTCTCGAGGCAGGATTTTCCCATTGTTGAAACTGCTAGGCAGAGTTCCCAGCACTTAGCAGGAACGGCGGGGTGGGGCGGGGGCGGGGATGGAGGGGTGGGCACAAGAATGCTTCTGATACTGTCCCTTCTAACTCGACACTCTAGAATTCCAGATTCTTTCTGTCAATAAATGGCCAGAACATGGTGGTTAATAAACACAAAAAGTTCAGAGGAACAAATAGGGTGTTGGACCCAGGTGGGCAATAGAAAGATTTCATTGCAATTCAGGTAAGAAGAAGAGAATTTTAACTCAAATTATTCAATAAAAATTTATATAAAAGACATCTTGGTAAAAGTGTTATCAAAGGCTATTGTTCAAAAAAGCCAAAAAGGTGATAAAGGATGCACTATATTGCAAGAAAAAGTATATGATTAGGAAGTTGTATTCCTACAAGAAGCATTCAGTGTATTAACTTATGGCTCATCTAGAATGAACTTGGAACTGATGCTCAGGCCTTGCTTTCCCATCCAGAGTCTCAGACCAAACCCTGATTCTGAAATGTCAGTTACTGTACTCATGTGACTGACCTAGTTTTTAAGTCTCCCTTATCTGGATGAGAAAAATGTGTAGTTCTGGGAAATTGTACAAGCAAGCAGAGAGACAATAAAGAGATAAAAATGGGATCAATACTTTTGGTAAATTGTGTTCATTCAAGGAAACCGATCTGTCCTCATGGTGCTGCTTTGATGATGCTGTCTCTGCTTAGCACATTTAGCAGGTGGGTATGTTCGATTTACAGAACTTATTTATATGCTTACAAAGATTCTGCTTATCAGATTTATAAATCTTCTCTGTCAGAAGTTTGAAGTGTTGGAGATAATTTCATTTCTAATTGTAGGTAGAAATATCTAAGAATCTTTGATGAATTACAAAGCCCTACGTGATCTTCTGTCCCATTCTTTTCTCCTACAGTGGTGAACAGTGTGCTCGTTTCTCCAGCACTGAGGTAGACTTTTATACGTCAGCCTTATCTCCAGGAGTTTATTTACATCTCTGAGGACTTCCGTGACACCTGTTATGATGAACCTCTGGCTTCCATTAAAAAAAAAAAAAAATTCCACTACTTTGGGGCATTGTTCAGTGTAGAAAGCAAGGTAGGGCATTTTGGGAGCAGTACACAGACTGATCTGAGTGTCGTCTCATAGGGTATCTATTTGAGACCATCATGGAAAGTTTGGAGTGCTGGGCCACTTGTCAGCTCCATGGAAGACTCCACAGCATGTCCTGGTGGGCTCATCAGGATGCTCCTGGGGATAAAGTTTCCATCTGAGTGTGAATTAAAAGTTCACTTTACCTGCTGTGTGATTTCGGGCAAGTTCCTTAACATCTCTGAGCCTGCTTCTTCATCTGTAAAGTGGAAATAGTAATTGTTAGTTCAGAAGATTATTGATAATGCTGATTTGAAATAGTGTTTGTAAAATGCTTAGCATAGTGTCTGAAACATATAAAGTGACCAAGCCATGAAAACTATGTGTTCCTCTTAAGTTTATGGTCAAGGAGAACTGGGAATCCCCTAAATGCAATCAAAATGTTAGGTCTAGAGTTCAATTTAACAAGCACGCATTGACCATCTGCTAATGTAGTCATCAAGCTGGGAATTCATTCATTCATTTGTTTGACAAATATTTATTAAGCAGATGCTTGTTAAGGAAATCGGTTACACCTATTGGCTGCTCAATCCCCTGAACAGTGCTGAAAATACACTTAAAAATTATTACTCTTTGTTCTTTTGCTTATGAATGTATTCTGCATTCAGAGAGGGTTTTGAAAGGTAAATACATATTTCTAATTAAAAGAAGCAAGGCTTCATATTATATGATGAAAAGGCTACATGCTGTATTATTCCAACTATCTGACATTCTGGAAAAGGCAAAACTATGGAGACAGTAGAAAGATCAGTATTGGGGAGTTGGACAGGGGGAGGGAGGGGTGAATAGGAAGAGCACAGAGTATGTTTAGGGCAATGAAACTATTCCATATAATACTGTAATGGTGAATACATGTCATTGTACACTTGTCAAAACCCATAGAATATACAAGCAAAGAGTGAACCCTAATGTAAATGATGGACTTCAGTTAATAGCAGATCAATGTTGGTCTATCAGCTGTAACAAATGTCCCACACTAATGCAAGATGTTAATAATAGGGAAAACTATATATGGGGGTGGGGTGAGGGGATATGTGCAAACTCTCTGTGCCTTCTGCTCAATTTTTCTGTAAACCTAAAACTAGTCTATTAGTTAACAAAAAAAGAAGTGAGATTTTATCTCCCAGGCTTACGTACTGGAGATCAGACTTGATTTGTTAGGCTAAAATGCGTGTTTCTCCTTCATGATCTTGAACTACCCTGTGCTTATCTTAATCCCAGTATCTCTGCATTATATTATTCCTGCAAGAATGCAAACTGTGTGAGAACAAGGACCACGCCTTACTCATCTTTGTAGGATCATGTAAGTCTCGTGTTCAGACCTGCCAATGGCTTCCCATTCCAAGTGCTTTAGGTGTATTAGCTCATTTATTCCTTAAAACAACCCTGTAAGGTAGATGCCATTATTATTCTATCAAATATGAAAAAACTGAATCACAAAGAGGTTAAGAAACTTGCCTGATGTAACTGGCAGAGCTGAGACACCAACTCAGATAGTCTGGCTCCAGAGTCTGCAGAAAAAGTACCAGAAAACCCAAAGATGTTTTAAACTGTGGGTCACAGCACAGTTTGGGGGCGAAATAATTTTAAGGTGCCTCAAACAAGGATTTTTTTAAAAAGCACAATAATAGAATGGAAGAAAAAGGAGAAATATGAGCATACCTTGCACATAGTAGGAGTGGTATTATTTTGTGAAACTTTTATTTGTGTGTTACATGTGTATATATTACATGGCGCTGAGATGCCATGTAAAATGTATTTAGAAGGCTCACTGCGTTAAAACATAAGGAGAGTTATTACCTCAGGTAACAAGCAGTACAGAGTGAAGGCAGCTTCAGGCCTGACACGCCATCCCTGACTCCTGCCCCATTATCCTGAGAGCCTGTTGTCCCTGTTCTGCTACACCAGCTGGCTTCATCTCACCAGTTCCTGTCATCATATCCAAACCCAGTGATGCCCAGAGGCAAGGAAACAGTATCACTTCTGGAGAATCCTATCCAAAAGTCCCTAGGAGATTGCATCTTGCCTCCCTTACTAGATTAGACACCTCCTTACCTCCCACTGGCCACACCTGGATCACATGGCCACCATGAATCAACCTGGGGGAAGGAGACCAGGACTACCACGATCAGATTCCACCATCTGATACACCTCTGAGCAAATATATGCACACAGCCAGCAAGGGTAAAGGGGGAAATGAGTCTTAGGCACCCAAAGTGTTTGTCCTGAGTAGAACCCAGAAAATAAAAAATGTTTAAATTAATTTTCTGTCTCCTTAGAGATAGAAGCTTTCTGCATACTACCCATCTATTAATTCATAAATTTATTCACTCAACAAATGTTTACTGTTTATATAATGTATGCCTGGCACTGTGCTAGGCAATGGGGACACAGAAGTAAGAGAAAGAGATAAGACCCATGCCTTCTGGGGACGACTCTAGAAAGGGAGAGAGTAGTTGAACAAATAATCTCAGAAATACATATATGTAACTACAAATGGCTATAAATGCTCCTAAGGAAATGGTGTGATTGAGGTTGTAACAGGAGGATCTGATTTAGATGGAAAGGGGAGGTGGTCAAAGAAGTCTTTTCAGAAAAGGTCGTTTAAGCAAGATATAAAGAATGAGTAGAAGTTAGTAGAGTGGGGAGTGGGAGGAAGAACTTTCCAAGTAGAGGGATCAACACACACAAAATGTTGGGATTGAAATCTTAGCACTTTAGAAGAACGGGAAGAAAGAGAATACAAGGAGATTTTTGGCTCTCAAACATAGAGTAGAGACCCTTTCTAGGAGAGAGAGAGATTTGAGAACTTTTTAACTCCAGGAACTCTTTGTGGTAACAGAAAAGGCTATCTTTGTTTCTAATATTCAGATGTTCTTTCCTAATCCTGGATATCATTGCTTGTTTCTGGAAGACATATAGGTTATTCAACTCATTTCTCATAGGAGATGAGAAGGCAAGACTTCAGATGACTTGCAGTATACATAGTTTGAGACAGCTTGAGCTTTTGTTCATCTCAAAGGAAGAGGAATTGTGCAGGTCAATTGATGGTGGCATTCTGTATCGATGGGCCTATTCTTGGGGAAATATGGGTTGCTTTTGTTTTTGTTGTTGTTCTGGTATCTCTGTGCCAAAAGAAGAGATTAGATTCTAAGTATGAGACAGGGTTTCCCCGTGAATGTAATAAACATTGCTCTTGTCAATCATTCTGGAATATGCAAATACTAAGACGGGCTGGGTTCAAGGGCATTCCCACTGGAGTCAGGTTAGCTAATCCCTGCAAGATGGGGGCAGCTCTAGGGTTAGGCAGAGAAGTACTCCAAAGAGGACCCTCATGCAGATCCCAAAAGCGGTGATATTTTATGTTTGTTAAGTCTTAACAAACCTTCGACTAAGTCTTAACAAAACCTCCTCTGACCTCAGGTATCTCTATACGGAATCGAAGATAGAATCATTGTCCAAGTTGGACAAAATGGCACAGGGGAGAACAATAGCAGTATGTCTTCAGATAAATGGGTATAATTGTGGAAGGGAAAGTAGTAGTTTGAATTCCCATGATGGACTCTAACGACCAGTGAATATCAGAATTGGTCTTTGGAGTGTGTGTTTCTTGAGGCTTCTCAGAAATTCCTGGAGATACAAGCCTGGTAATAGACAGCACTTTCTGCAATTAAAAGAAATGGAGCTGAGACTACAGTGATTTAAGCCTTAAAGGTATGTATGAAGTTTGGAATTTGTATTACAAATATATTCTTTCTAATCCTCACAACTGCCCTGCAAGGTGATTTTATTATGTCAGAAAAGTGAGGCTCAGTGCAATGCGTAACCCAAGGCTACAGGGCAAGCAAGAAGAAGAGTGGGCTCAGGTCCAAGTTCGTCTGTGTTGGACGCCCAGGCTCATTCTGTTATGTCATACTGACTGCCTCCTTGAATATTAGTGTGCTTCCTTTCAAGACCTTCAAAAAAGGGAGGCTAGGGTCATTCACTTCCACTCTACAGCCAGACTAGGAGAATGACCTAGGGGACAGTGGAAGATGGCAGCTACAAGAAGAAAAATAACCTTTTGTCTTAACAGAAACTGAGGCCTCCTGTGGTATCCTTTAACTTCTTGCTACCTTATCTATACATTTATCAACATCGATAGCCATTTTCATTTTTTCCCTCAGATAAAGTTTCATTTTCCCAACCAGGCGCGGTGGCTCACGCCTGTAATCTCAGCACTTTGGGAGGCTGCGGCGGGCGGATCACCTGAGGTCAGGAGTTTGAGACAAGTCTGACTAACATGGTGGCACCCTGTCTCTACTAAAAATACAAAAGTATCCGGGTGTGGTGGCGCTTGCCTGTAAGCCCAGCTACTCAGGAGGCTGAGGCAGGAGAATCGCTTGAACCCAGGAGGTGGAGGTTGCAGTGAGCTGAGATCGCGCCATTGCACTCCAGCCTGGGCAAAAAGAGTGAAACTCTGTCTCAAAAAAAAAAAAAAAAGTTTCCTTTTCCCGTTTAAAGCCAAACTTCTACCTAAGCTTCTAATTGCCCCCTCCTCCCTCTTCTCTCAGACTCTGTTCCATCTGCACACCCTCTTTCTTATACTTTAAATGTCTACCCTTGCTAGTTCTCATTGCTATACCCATAACATGCTCTCATCTTTCCCATCTTAACCCATCACTTTAAACCCCAATTTTCCTCTATGGATCAATTAACTTGTTCCTATTATTATCCACACTTCTCAAAAATGCAGATTATACTTAGTTAGCTCCACTTCCTCCTATCCCAATAATTTCTAATTTTATTCTGAACTAGCTTCTTCCTGTTTCATTACGTTCATTAATGTCACCCTAACATCTTAACGAACACTTTAAAAATCTTTTTAAAGTATCATATACATACAGAGAAGTGCTTAAGTGTTCACTGCAAAGAACGATCACATCGCGAATACATCTAGGTATCTACCACCTGGTTAAGAAATAGGACATGACCAGCATTCTAGACAGAAACGCTATGGTATTCTCCCAGTCATTATTTCCTCCTTCCTCCCTAAAGGTAACACCATCCTGACCTCTCATACCGTAGATTAATTTCACCTGTTTTAAACTTTATATAAATGGACCCTTACATAATGTACTCTTCTGTGTCTGGCTTCCTTTTCTCAACAT